CTACTACTACTACTACTACTACTACTACTACTACTAATACTACTACTACTACTACTGCTACTACTACTACTACTACTACTGCGACTACTACTACCACTACTAAAACGGCTGCTGCTGCTGCTTCCAGTGCTACAACGGTACTTGTGCAGTACTGGTTGAGTTACTATGCACCTAAGTCCAGAATGCGAGTACAATGCGACGACCAGACTGCTACAGTAGGACCGCGCTGTAACCGTACAAGAGCGGTGCCGTACGAGGGAAGCGGCCCCGGGAGGAATTGAGGAGGGAGGTGGGTCCTTCTTCCTGGGCCTGGGGGCCACGAAGGGGGGAGGAGGAAGGATGCGATCGCAGTGCAACGCATTGTGATCGCAACGCAGTGCGTCTGCAATGCAATGCAATGCAATGTGATTGCAAGTCAATGGGACTGCAATGCAATTGAAGGGAATGCGATTGCAATAGGATGCGATTGCAATGCAATGCGCTTGCAATGCAGCGCAGTTTGATGGCAATGCAGTGCGATGCGACTTCAACGCAAGGCGACCACAATACGGTGGGGAGGGTACGATCGGGCGGCTGTTGCAAGGCGACTGCAACGCAACGCGAATGCAATGTTGTAGCGCGCGGCGGCTGGCAGATTTTTTCTTGCCCCCCCCACCCCCCCGGCGCCCCCCACCCCCCCTGGCGCCGCCGCGTGCGGCTCGGGGGAGTGGGGTTGGGGGAGGCGTCTTTCCAGGTTGGTGTTGGTTGGCGCTGTGTGTCACTACCTCTCTCGCCCTGCCTCCCTCGCCCTCTCCATCCCTCTCCCGCCCACCCCCCCTCGCTCCGCTCCCACGCTGTACTCTCTCTATCTCTCTCTTTTTTCTTTTTGCCATCATTTTTCTTTCTTGCTCCCTCTCGCTTTATCTCGCCCTCCTTCTCTTCCCCCCGCCCGGGCTGCAACGCGCACCTCGGAAGTGAGTCGTGCCGCGCGTCGGCCCCCAGGCAGCCAATTAAGAACCCCCCGTTCTCCCAGAAATGCTGCTTTCGCCTCTTCGACGGCCACTTCCAGGCTGTCCGGGATTCGTTCTCATCGGCTGCGCCGCGGCTGGCTGCGTTCGGTCGGTTCGGTTCGGTCGGTCGGCGTGTCGTTGCTGCGTCGGTGCGCCCTTCTGCCTGCGGCCTGTCGGCCTCGGTCGGCCTCGGTTGTGCTGTCGATTGGCTCGGCTTTTTGGTTGCGCTGCCGCCGTGGGCGGCCAAGGCCCGTGCCCGAGTTGTACGTCCACCTGCGGATGCGTCCTGCCCCTCCTCGCTTACCACTCCTTGAGGTCAGTATCGTTTAACCGACCCCCATCCCCATCCTCATCCCCTTCGAGACCCCCACCAAATCACCACCCCAGTTGGGGATACACCCCTCGAAACCCGAAGGGAACGGCCCATATCCCCATCTGGGGGGGTAAATCGGCCAGGGGGGCCCAGGCCGCGCCGCTGGCCTGGACGTGGAGATCAGATGACAGACAGCGGGGTCGACTGCGCCGGTGTGGGCGCGTACGCTGCCCGCGTAAGGTCGCGCGTAAGCGACCTCGTTGCCAATCCAGCGTGCCGCGCTGGAGGCCCGCGTAGGCCGCGGAGTGAGGTCGCTATGTCTTCTTGCGTAAGACCTGTTTCTTTTCCCAGCCACGCGCAGACGGGGATATAGGGGGAAAGGGGAAGGCTTCTTAGAAGCACCCCAGCTTCTTGGAAGGCGCGGGCCTTGAATGTATGGCCAGCGCTTTCTGAGAAGCAGCCTCCCAAGAAGCCTTCCCCCTCCCCATACCCCATGTGCGAGCCGCCTATTCTCGTCGCCCAGGCGTCTCTTTGTCTGGCGCAATTTCCCAGGTACGACGTTTCGCTGTGCGCCACGGTTCGCAAATCTCGGGGCGAGGGTGGGCCCGCTCCTCTCGCGAGCCCGTGCCGTACCTCGCGCGCTCGTGATTGCCAGCTCGTGGCGCACAGATGCCTTACGCTGCATCTTCGGGGGACCTCGCCCATGCCCCCAAAATTTAGTGTCTCTCCGTGTGCCCGACGCGGGCGGCTCGATGCGGACTCGACGCGGGCTCAGCGTGGATCCGACGCGGATTCGACATGGATTCGACACGGATGCGACGAGGCCAGCATGGATTCGACAAGGATTCGACGCAGATAGCGCCGCGACGGGACAGACCAGACCCCCCGAGGATGCTACAAAAAGATGTCGTTGCGGTCATCTTCTTCCTTCCCGCCGGGTGGGAGGGGGGATCTGGCGGGGCCCTGCCAGGGAGCGAGTATCGACTAGTGAAAGCGACTCTCTGCGGCCGTGACCAGTGCTGGCTCACAGAGCCAGCCGCGCCCGCGCTCTTGATCTTACCCCCCCCCCTCCGCCCCCCCCCCCCGGAGCCGCGCACCACAGGCCATTTCCTGCGCGCAGTCAACGAGGGCGACGGCACTGCTTATGCACGAATCGCGTGCCACCTTTTCATTTGCACGTTCAATTGATGGGGCTGCTGTGGACCCTGACCCTCTGTTCCACAGCTGTGGAGGCCGACCCCGTCCAGGACGCACGGCAAGACGGTGAAATGTGCTGGCGGGAGTGGATTGATTTGATCGTACTGCATCCAGATCCTGCTGGGGTCCTGCTGGTAGGTGCTCCCAGTGCTTTTACTCGAGAGGGCCCACGATTCTCTTCAGGCTTCCGTGGTGCGTTTCTGTACCCAGCGCTGCTGCACACACAGGGCTCCTGGGGCACCCGCGGCGAGAGGAGGACGAGGCACCGCTGCCCCGGCACGCTCGCTCAGCAGCGATAAACGCGGGCCGTGCTCGAGGCGCGCCCGCGTCGGCACTCTCCGCGCGCTGGCTCTCGCCGCGCGTGGGCCCACGCCTTGGGCGCACGTCTCGCGCAGGAGGAGGAGGAGGAGGAGGAGGAGGAGGAGGAGGAGGAGGAGGAGGAGGAGGAGGTAGGAGGAGGAGGAGGAGGAGGAGGAGGAGGAGGAGGAGGAGGAGGAGGAGGGAGGAGGGGGAGGAGGAGGAGGAGCACATGGCAAGCCTCGATCTGCGCGCCCGGAGCGACCCCCCGGAGGCCAGCGGGGCGGCGGACGCGGCCCCGCCCGGCGGCCCTGCGCCGGCGGCGCGCGGGGGCGGCAGCCCCGCGCGCTCGGAGTCCAGCGACGAGGAGGCGCGCCCGGGAGGATGTCCAGCGGAGGGTCCGCGTCGGGGGCGCCACGGCCGTCGATCGAGGGCCCAGGGCCGCGGGCGTTGTGCGGGTCTCCCGGGTGGGGTCCGACCCCCAACCGAGCTGTTCGGGCCCCATTCCGGAGGCCTCTGCTCAGGGGGGAAAAAACACACAGACACAATTAATCGTCGATTCCCAGAAATATGGGAAAAGATGGGAAGTGGGGGGAAGACAGAAACCCAGAAAATATAGGAAAATATGGGGGACCATTTTATTTGTGTGTAATTATTTGGTTGTGTGTCCCAGGGCCCCGTTATCTACGTCTGCTGCTTTCTCTTCAGGTCTCCTGGGGAGTCCTCCCCGCCACGGCCGGGTTCCCGCTGGAACTCTGGCCAGGACGCACCCCAGGGCAGGGCCAGGGGTCGAGCTGCGACTCTCGGACCATGACCCTCCCCCCCCCCCGCGTCGTGAAACATCGCGGAAGAGAGTGGTTGACAAGTTTCGGCTTCTGTAGGGGAACAAAAAGTGACACAAACATAAAAAAAACTCGGAGGTCCGCGCGGAGTTCTCGGATCGGCGCGGGGGCCCCCCCGCGGCGCCTCGCGGCGCCTCCGGCGCGCGGACCTCCGAGTTTTTTTTATGCTTATGCCACGTTTTGTTCCCCTCTTCTGGGGGACCTCACCAGGACCGGGGCCGTCGGAACGCAGCTCGAACGGAAACGCCGGCTCCTGGGAAGTGGTCAAGGCATGGCAGGACCAGGACCGTCAGAACACGACTCAGATTGAAACGCCGGCTCCTGGGAAATGGTCAAGACATGTGAGAGCTCGTATCGCGAAGCGACTCACGACATCAGGGGGGTTGGGGTCATTCGTATTTTGCACGTTGCATCTTTAGAAAACCTTGTCTGTCCTGTAGATGCGCGCTTTTGTATGTAATTATGTACCCGACGCGAATTCGGCGTGGATTCGACGCGTATTCGACGCGGGTTCGACGTTCGACGTGGATTCCATGCGGATTCGACGCGGGCAGCGGCGCGACGTGATGGAGATGTCTTTCGCACATGCAACATAAGATCGGGAACCAGGCTCGCCGCGACTTCAGCCTGATGATGAACGGATCGAGTGCCCTCTAGTCATCTGCACTTTCAATTGATGGGGCTGCTGTGGACCCTGAGTCTCCTTTCCACAACTGTGGTGGCCGACTCCGCCCAGGACGCACCACAAGATGCTGAACTGGTATGGCGGGACTGTACTGGTTCTACGTCGCCCAGATCCTGCTGGCAGAAATCCCCAGTAAGTTCCTTTTGGATGGCCCACGAGTCTCTTCACATTTCCATGCTGGGCTTCTGTGCCCAGCATGATTGCGCATACGGCCGTCGTTTCCTCCTCCCTCTTCTCTTCACCCCCCTTGCACTGCGCTTATTCCTCCCCCCCTCCTTCCTTCGGACAGATGCTGGCCGCAGTTGGCCGATGGTCAGGGGTCTGGGAGTTTTTTGAGGTTGACAAGCGCTCTGTCGGGCTACTCTTGGGCAGGCCAACCAATCGTGATGTTAGTTCATCCCTGACCCAGACGAGAATCTCAATACTTGATCCGACGACCAAAGGCGGGTGGGGGGTATCTCAAGCTGAGCCCACTTTGCTACCCACAAGTGCGGTAAACAGGAATGAGGGGTGGAGGACGCGGAGGACTGGGTGTAGCACGAGAATGTCGTCCGTATGTTCGAGCGTGAAGTGACCACAGCCAGAGCGCCAGGCAGCAAAGAGTGTACCATTGTGTCTGACAGGACAGCCCGGGCTTCCGCATCTCCCACCGGAAGTGCCCCACTTCTCTGCACGAC